AGATTTCATCAAAAATATCTTCATTTGTGTTCCGAAGATGAATGAAGGTCTTACTGGTTTGGAACGACATGAGAGAGTAATTAATGACACAATTTTCATTTTTGGGTGAACCCTTTTTAAATAAGAGTAAGAAAAATAATGTGAAGAAAGAAAATAGAAATTAGGTAACAAGGAGTCTGACAATTTAGATGAAGGAAGAGTAAAGGAAACAACACAAAGAGGAAAGAAGTCAGAAAGGAAGGACAAAAAAGAATAAAGGTAAGTAAGTGAAAGAAATATAAAAATCAAAAAGAAGGTTTGAAAGAAATAAAGAAATCAGATAAGCAAGAGAACAAAAACAAAGAGTCTAATATATGAGTGATAGAGACTAGAAAAAACACTCGTTTAAGACATGGCCTATGAGGGTGCTCTCTTGATCATGGTTTTGTGGTCAGTCTTTAGAAATCACACAAAAGAGAATATAAATCTCAGTATTGAACCAAAATGCTGTTTTTTTTTGTTTTTTGTACAATTTTAAAATGTCAAAGCAGCAGTTTCAGAATAGATTATTGTATAGCTGGCATACTGTTCAGTTTATCTTGTCTTTTTGTACAACAGATTGAATGTCTTTTTAAAATTTTTATCTGGGATCCACTGCTGTGCTCAGTTTGAAAAGGCCTTTATATCTAAACATAATACACAGATTAATGTTTTTGTTAGCCTATCCAGTTGAAGCCACTAGATGTGGTGATGTTGCGTTGTTCATTAAAAATATAGCGGAAAAAGAGAACATCAATGTGGAGAAGATCTTGTTTACATCAAAGCCGAAACCAAGCCGTTCACACAGAACGCATATTTCATGCATTTTCTAGACAGACATCTATTACTGTTGCACTCGCGTCTCGCACAAAAGAGCTGCCTGTTTAGAAAGCCATGTAAAATGAATGCAAGTTTAACTTTGAAAAAAACCTATATCGAGACTTAATGGCGGGGTTTTCCCCATCCCACTGCGTCTCACGTTTTTAAATGGAAAAATGTACTCTGTGTGATTGGCTTTCCGCCCTTTGTATTAAACAATGCATACATACATTTTGTTTATAGTCGTTTAAGCAACTTAATTATAATTGGTTTATAAGCATTATTTCAAACATTATGCACTTTTTTCCCCCGCAGATAGTGACGCACCCTCTTGTGGCCTCAGGAGAGAAGCCAAAAGCTTTTCTTCACCCTAACTGAAACTATGCATTTTAAATTCGAATACAATTCGAATTTTGATAATATTTAAGTACAAAATTTGAATTTAGTTTTTCAGCCATTTTGACAGCCCTATTGTACACATTATCTATTCTATGCAAATGAACAAAGCGCATAGCACTTGAGTTGAGAGGTGCGCACATGTGAAAGGGTCAAAAGTTTCTTTATAAATTCTAATGTAGCATGAGTAGCCTAACAATGTTAAATACTACAGGTAGTGAGTGCTCCCACACAATAAACAGACTAGATAAGTACGTACAGCTACTCTCCAACAAATAGTTTAACAAATAGAGTAACATGATCTTCACCCTGCATTGCCATTTATGCATTATATTCCAGCATTAGACCAGCAGAGTTCATAACATGCAGGACAATCTCACTGTATTAAACACCCTTGTGTTCTTTATTTCAATTTAAATGATCATGTTCCTGTAATTGATGCAGTGACGATGAAGGACAGCTGAAGGTGACTGAGAATGCTAGCAGTCTGTTACACTTAGCAAATGTCATTTAAATTAAAACTACTGCAAGACACTTTCACTGTGGAAGGGGAGGCTGAGTAGCTTTCCTTTTAATTAGCTGAAAAATCGTGAAAAACTGAAAACCCTTGGGAGGGGAGTATCTGTAGGCTGCAACACAATCCCAAGAGAGAAAGCAACGTTTAAAGAAATCCATGAAAAGAGTTTACATGAATCTGAAATATAGGGCAATACAATAAGATTGTACTGGGTAACTTCTTTAGATTATAAATTCGGCTGAACCCCAAAATTAACAGCCATTAAAGCAATAAGCTAAATAACATTAACATATCTCCCTTTACAATGTCCATCCCAAATCAAGTATTAAAGGATAGTTCACCTAAAAATGACTATTTTTCAAAATGAAGTAGTAAAGTAAATTTATAACATTTAATTTTGTAAGCAACTTATAAACGAGAACAATATAAATATATTATATACTATTGTTCAAAGTTTAGGGTTGGATTTGCATTAAATTGATAATCAGTAAAGATGATAGTAAAGATATATTCAAGGATCATGTGACGATGTCTGGAATAATGTCTGCTTTAATATATTTAAATTGTAATATTTCACAAGATTACTGTTGATCAAATTAATGCAGCCTTTGTGAGCATAAAAGACGTCTTTCAAAAATACAAATATATAAATATACATATGTGCTGTTTTGCAATGGTTTAATGATAACCAACTTAAAAATCGGAATTCTAGTGGAAATAATCAGTAAGAGAGTCTCAAAGCAGGCTAGATCTTTCTGACCAGAAGTCTACTCAAGGGCAAACGTTCGGCCTTCCTCACTCTCAGCAGCTTCTGCGGATCACAATGGTGAAGTGAACAATCGTTTTTGTCATCTCTGAGAAACACGCCTCAGTTACTATCTCGAACAAACAGCAGGGTCCATATTCCTGCCGTATTACAATATTGATGGAACATATCAAGAGAGCCCCGCGCAGCTTTGAAGTTCTCCTTCCAGGCGGGAGGGCTGTGTGGAAGGAGGCAAATTCCAAATTGAACATTAGGGATGCAAGCATGTTGGCCATGCATTCGGAATAGAATCCATCCAGCAATAGATTATTTTGTATTTAGTGGAGCACATCCCAGGAGTGTCAATATCAGAGGATTACAGCAAAACATGAAATTAGCATTCAGTCCCCATCCCCTGCATGCCTCGGCTCTTCTTTTTATGTCGCACTGTGAGCGTATGTGCGTGAATGCGCTCGCACAAGATGGCTGAGGATACAGAGAAATGAGTGTGCGTTTCGTGGCGGCGGTACTATATGGAGAAAAAAAAAACAGGTTAACCGATGGGTCCATCGATAATGTATTGAAGATTGCATGTTATCAGAAGAGCACGCTTATTTTGTGATCTATATCACTTGCACTCTGGCTACACGTGAATCAGTTCGGGTTGTTTTAGCTCCGGCGGGCCAGGCTAGCAGTATGCCGACTGAGGGGAAGCAGGTGGTGGTCTTCCCCCCTCTCGTGCAGTAAGTGCCGGGCTGAAGTGCTTTCTCCTCTCCCCGAGAGAGCTCCGGAGAGTGCTTTTAAAACGTTACTGCGAGTGCTTGCTCTCATCTATTTTCACAAGGATTCATATGCATTTTTTAACGTCCGAATCTGCTCTGGAAGCAGCATTTTGTATTTAACGAATGTACAAAACCTGCATTTCTGAATAAAACAGCACTACATATGGAGGAAAAAGAGAACGCTTACCTTTCCCGGGTCATCTTTGGAGCGAGGCACTTTGAGAAAACACTTGTTCAATGAGAGATTGTGCCGTATTGAGTTCTGTAGGAGAAAAGGGAGACAGAGAAGTGTTTAGGTTGTTTATAGGTTAATGAGACTCCAGCATGATATTACACTACAATAGTACCTAAAACCCTCATTTACATGCAGCCTATAGCGCGCTGTCAGATGGCGGCGTAGCATTCGCGAGCATGTAGGGTCCCTGCAAATAAGAGAATATGAATAAAACACTGGGGTATTATAACCCAAAGCCTGCGTCATCTTTTCTGCACTATGCAAAGCAACCGGGCCAGAGAAATATATTAAAGAGATTCATCTTGCTGCAGACGACAGCCTAAAAAAAAAATAAAATAAAAATACAAAAATGCGGGACGATTAGGACGACTGCAGAATATTGAGACTCCTAAACTCAATAATAAAAACCCCTGACTCAACTATTTTTAACTTCACAGAGATTTTTACTTAACTTTTTGAGATTCCCACACATGTCCGAATGCACTAAAACTGATGTGACAAAAAAAGTCCCATACACAAAGGATGTCCTGAGGTTAATTAAAAAAAAAGAAAAGGAGAGATCCAGTTTAATAGCATAGTAATTAATTAATCATCCTGTTCCTCAGTGGGAAATAAATTATGCAAATAATTTTTTTAAAACTTCCACAATTCTTTAATGAGCAAAAGGTAATTTTTCAGCATGTGAGGGATGAATTAGCAGGAGGCGGCTTGAACGCACATCATGCCTTAATGCTCAGCGCGTTCCAGCTGGAGCTCAGCCAGCCACTTGGCTTAAGACACTAAAATTGCACAGGTTTTGAAATCATTTGACCAAATTGTATTGACAGATGGCTGTGATTTAAAAGCTTTGGGATCTTTGCATGAGCTGGTCTGGTGTGGAACGAGCCTACCGTGAGAGAAACACTCACGAGAGAGGAGATTAGATGAAAATGCTAAGCAAACACACAATCTATGTTAATATGTGATGAATTTTTGTGAAAGAACTATCGTATAACATCTAATGAGGGCAATAACAGGCCGTTTCCACTGGGATGATCAGGGTTGATTGCAGGTGTGTGTTAGATGTTTAACAGTGGACTAAAGGGAACGACACGTCAAGGTAAGGGAGACTCCGACTGCATCAGCAGTACCGAAACCATTAGCAGCAATAAAGGTGAGCTCTACAGGACAGCTGAACCTGATAGTTCATGAGATGCACGCAAAAAAAACGAAGCAAAGGCGGTTCAGGGCAGTTTATAACCCGTCGCTGAACCTGATGGGCTCGACACATCTGTCCACAGACCCTAATCTTGTAGCACAGTTCAACTTTAGCAGCCTCAGCACCTCTACACACTGCAATATCTGAGGTTAGTCAGGCAGACAACGTCACGGTCTCTCCCTGGAAAAAAATAAACAATGTCAACTACGTAAGCCTGCTCTGTAATAGCAATGTGCACTTTGGTCATTTTGAATGCTCGAGTACTTGACAGATAAAACAGAAGAGTACTTGAAGTCGGAAAGGGCAGATGGAGCAAGACCTTTCGATTTCTTAATTAGTTTAAATATGCATCAGATGGACATGCTTTTGCGATCTGTACAGGCTTCCAAGATCACTGAATGAAAGAAACTGATCACTTTCTTCTTCAAAGTAATGATTCTGTGACTACCTTCTATCGGGTTAGGTGGCAACTAGCTTAAGTGGACATGCAGGTCAGACAGGCAGGTCTCTTTCCCTGGCTGTCACGCTCTCACTTTTGTCCTCCACTGCTTTAACCTCCCTCTCCCCCTCTCTTCTCTGTCTCTCCCTCTTTCTCTGCTGGGGGCCGGAGGGTTCAAGGCTGGCTCAGCAGGGCTCCTGCAGACAGACATGGCTAATAAGCACTACTGCACCAGTCCAGTCTGTCTCCAACTCTCTATCAGGGGAACTAACCAAGAGAGCCGCAGGGCCAGCTGCCATTCAGACACACTGAGTTTGAGTGTGTGTGTGTGTGTGTGTGTGTGAGAGAGTGTGAGAGAGAGAGAGAGAGAGAGAGAGAGAGAGAGAGAGAGAGAAAAGGAATGACCAAAAGAAGTCATGTGAGAGCTTGTGTGTAAAAGCCCACTCTGAGTTTATCAGATGGATCCTGTATAGTGAAAGCTACCAAATCCAATACGTTACGAACATTAGCAGCACGTCATACATGACCAATAGGGTTTTGCTATAAAATAAACCAAGCAAAATGTGTTTCTTTTATTTCAGCAAGACATTTATATCACATATATGATTATATCACATATATAATAGATATTTTAATATAAATATTTCAGTAATAAATATATGCATTCTGTCATACAATGATACATTAATACATAAACATATTTAAATAATTTAATAACATTAATATATAAAACACATTTTATTACAAATATTTAAATTATAAATATTTGCATTCCATATTTTATATTTAAAAAATGATTTATGACAAGCATATGTTTATAATATTGAATGATATCATACAAATTTACTACTACAAATAACAATAGTAAATTACTATTTAAATATGGCATTTAACTGCTGCGATAAAATATTTGAACTTACTATTAATTTTATTTGCTATTGCTATTAACGAAATAGACAAAAAAACTTGATAAAAATCTAATCAGTTTAAAGTATAAAACAACAACAGAAGTTCACCTTTCACAATATAATCAGTTTTGAATGGATACAAATAATCTTTTTTCCCCCTCCATGAATCACATATTCCATTTAGAAACACGTCACAATAAGGAAGTCAAATGGGTCACAAATGCCATTTCATGTTGAAGACATGATTATTCATGACTGACATGAAGTGCTATATCCCTCACATCTTTGCACACTTAAGGTAGGACACGTAACCTGTCTAAATTCAGCAGAGAGGCCTGCTTGTCTGTGCCTGCTTCTCAACTACAGATGAAACACACCAATTTTTCTTTTTTGACCCTGCATTCAACCTGGAAAATTTGTTTCAATTTTGATGAGTTATGAAACCAGTGTCTGTCTTATATATCACTACATGTTAACAAACATGTCCTGTCTGACAGCATCTTTACATGCACATGTAAAACTAAAGGTCAGCAGGTCACTCCTGAACATAACAAATGACTTAGAGTGTAAAAATATTCCACATCACATAAAATGATGTGCAGCTAACACTGCTGAATGTTTTATTCTTGATTGCATATATTACAGATGGAGCTCAGAAGCACCGCAGTGCAGTGAAATGATGAAGAGGAGGATGAAGAGAGCTGTAGGAGTCATCGAGGATGAGGAGCTACAATAAGAGGGTCAGACACTGAGCTCTGTGGGAGTGCCTGTCCATTACTGTCTTGGTGGGCTGAGATGTACCTGCATTCCACAGCAGGAGTGCTCTCTCCTAACCCCTCGCGTAAACGCACTCGCTGACAGTCAGTGCACCTATCCGCCCACTCACCCCTGGCCTCTCGCCCACCTCTCCCAACATGACAGAAGGGCAGGCGGGGGAAAGTGGGTCAGGCTGACCTCCTCGTCCCGAGTATCAAGCGCTCAGCATGAGTCAAAGGGACAGGCTGTGTCGCAGTAGAGTTCTTCATCAAGGATGTACCACAGTTCCCCGCCTGCTCAGCCCAGGGAGCCCAGGTTACAACAGAACCATCCCATCAGTGCTCACAAATCCAGCCTGACATCCTCTCTCTACATACCGAGACACAGAGGGAAACTTTAAATTATGGGGGGGATTGGCCAGGAAACTGATGATGACTTGATTGGAGGATAAAACACATTGTAACGTCGGAAGGTCTCAATGTAAAGGGTCTCTAGATGGCAGAGCAGAGATATATATATATATAGGGTTAGGGAGTAACAAAATACATGTTTGTTTTAGTTACATTTCAAATGGGTGGTAATCAAAGTACAGTTACATCCGTTAAGTATTTTTGGCTGCGTTTACACTGCAAGTCTTAATACACAGACCCGATCTTTTGACCCGTCTCTTTACATTCACTTTAGACACGACTGGTATCTGATATCTCTGTTTACATTAATTCTCGCCCAAAATGATTTGATCGCTTTACTATGCACATGGTAGACCCTCAGTTTTTGAATGTCCGTACTATTAAAATAATAAATATAATTCACATTGAGTGGCTATTATTTTTTGCCAGCATGGACAACAGCTGTCATGGATGTTTTGCAGCATAAAATCTGATTGAATGGATAAAGACGGGAAAATAATGGTAATTTTCATTTGTTATTTTATCTATAGCTCATTAGATGTAGAATTATGAAGTGAAATAAAGTAGTGCTGTAAGACTTTATTTATTTGAACGAATTCAAACAAATCAACGAGAAAGAGAGGGAATGCGCGATCGAGTAGCCTAATAGTGAAGCTTGCTGGTTTAATTACAAAAGCTGCCAAGTCGTCATCTCATTGCTGAGAAATATAGTGTAGCTTTTAGTAGCAAAGCTGTTGTATTTATAAAATCACGGGGGAGGGATTGAAATGTTGCTTTGTCCTGAATGCTGCAGATCTCGTTTGGATTTTTGTGTTTACACGTGTGCAACAAATTCGGATCTGTGTCAGATGTGAGCAATATATCTGACTTTTGTGCCCGTGTAAACGCAGCCTTGGATTACCAAAGTGATTACTTTGAAATTAAATGTAATTTATTTTAATATTAATGTAAAATGTTTGAACATTTTTGACCAGTGAGGCAAACTGGTGTTTCTCTGACTCTTTATAATAAAAAATAACAAAAAAACACGACGTGCAGCCTGTTACAACCAGGGTGCAGACAATAGTCATGACTAACAAAAATGCAAAAATGCAGGTGAAAATCAGAAAGCCAAGCGTGTAATGCATTTTTGTCATGGAAATACAAAGACTACTTTACCTATAAATGTGAAAAAGGACGAAACATTACAGTGCAATACAATTTTGTTTCTTGCAACAAAACTTCTCTTGGCTTCAAAGGAAAATCTAACCTTGAAAAGGCATCTTAAAGTAAGTTGTTCTCAATCTTCTAAAACACTGTTGTCACACCACACTGAC